AGCCACACTGGCCAGGGCCACATAACATTTCTTCATATGTAACAGCAAACATCTGACCAACAAGGGTTCTCAGACTAAGCAGAATAATCCTGGCACTCATACGACAGACAAAAAAACATGAGAAGGTAGAGTAGGGCAGCTCTTCTGGAGAGCAATTTGGCAGTATACTTAGTTAAACTGAGTATACATATACCATATGAGCCAGATATTTTACTCCTGAGTAAAATGAGAAATGTGTACAGAGGCCAACGCTGCATATGGTGGCAAGGAGTTAGAGGACATCACTGTGCAAGTAGATGGGTAGATTGGTTGATGCACATAGAGAATTATGTGAAAGTTGGAAAAGATGAGTAGATATATCCAAAGTAATATTAATGATTTAAAAACAGCAGTGAGGCCCTGGCTGGTGTGACTCAATGGTAAGAGTGTTGGCCTGTGCACTGAAGGGTTGCGGGTTCGATCTCCAGCCCCAGCTGGGGTACATGCAAGGGGCGGCCAATCCACGTGTCTCTCTCATATCGATGTTTGTTTTTTTCTCTCTCCCCTTCCCTCCCTCCCTTCCACTCTCTCTAAAAAAAATCAGTGGAAAAAATACCCTTGAATGAGGATTAACAAAAAATAAATAAAAATAGCACTGAGTAGAAAAATATAAAAAAGATAAAACCTAAAACAAAACATGCAATTTACATTTATGTAAAGGAAAAATAAGATAGCCACTTTCAAAAATAAATGTTAAAAAAAAAAAATTAAAATATCTGCACAGAGAGGAGGAATGGAAATGAGCTATAGAAATAAAAGGAATAAATATATAAAATAAAAAGTGACCTTGCAAGGATCAATGATAATTATGGGTCACAAACTCAGAAATATGACTAATTCAGTCTTCTACATTTGTAGTCCAAGTGGAAAACCACCACAACAAAACTGTACTAAGCAACACAGGTACAAAAATTATATAGTGCTGCCCTGGCCAGTTTGGCTTAGCGGTTGGAGCGTTGGCCTGCGGACCAGAGTGTTCCGGGTTCGGTACCAAAAAAAAAAAATTATATAGTGCTGAGTAAGTGTAACCACTACTATTACTTTATTATACACCAGGCATCTAAGAGCTTACATGTACTGATTAATTTAATCCTTCCAACAACTCTATTGTTGTTATTTCCCAGGAAATTAGGGAACAAAAAAAGTTAAGGAATTTTCCCACGAAAATTAGGGCTAAAATTCAAACCCAAATTCTGTGCATCTAGAACTATAGCTCTGATCTGGGATTCCAAAGAGCCTCTCATTTCTATAAGGTAAAGATTATACTTTAAAAAGGAAAGAAGCTATTTACAATCCTGCACAATGCATGCTGAAAACAAATAATGAAAAAGTGGCCAAAAAACCCCGTAAGTCTGGATAAGGCACTTGATAAAATATTGTTTTGACTGAGTGGGTAGATTAATGAATGGGAAACTTATCTCAGGCTTCGTCAGTGAGTTGCATTAAAGGAGATCTTAAAGAGTGAAGATAGTATGCGCCAGTAGTATTTCAAAAGTCCAACAGAGGAGTGAAAGCATTATGAGTAAAGGAAGAGAGATAGGAAACCACTGGATACACTGATAAAATACCAAGTGGCCTAGTGTGGTAGATGACTGTATAGAGAACCTAAGTGTTAGGAGATTCACTTGAGTAGCGTATGGGTTTTTTTAGACTTATTTGAATCCTACCTGGCTCCAACACTTCTATCTGAAAGGCCTTAGTATGTTATTAACCACTTGTGGCTCTGTCTCATCAAGAGCAAAATGGAGTTCATTCCCTCATTTAAGAAACAGTTGAGCACTTACTATGTGCCAGGAACTAAGTACTGGAGATACAACAGTGAATACAAAGAAGTCCTTGTCCTCATGAACATTACATTGAGACATTACAGTGCAACATCGATAGGCTGCCTCCTGCATGGCCCACACATGACACTGAACCCACAATCTGGGCATATGCCCTGACTAGGAATCAAACTGGCAACCTTTAAGTTCACAGGACTATGCCCAACCAACTGTGCCACACCCTCCAGGGCTCTGCAGCAGTTTCAACACCTGCCAGGGAGGATCAGGGGAGGTTCTAACTTTCAATAAACCATGCCCCAGCCATGTGCATTTGTTTACTCACTGTGACTGGTTAATGCACACAATTACCAGACCTATTCAGTATAAATTTAAAATTACAGTAATACATCAGAATACTTTTCTGTGAAATTAAACTTTTCATATATACTTAATTTTAATTACACAAACATGTCTACATAAGTAAAAACAGGTAAACTAACTAGTTTGTCAGTTTTTATTTTTTATCCTCACCCAAGGACATTTTTGCATTTATCTTCAGATACAGCAGGAGGGAGAGAGGGAGAAAGAGAGAGAGAAACATCGATGTGAGAGAGACACATCAATTGGCTGCCACCCACATGACCCCAACCGGGGCCGGAACAAACTGCAACTGAGGTACATGACCTTAGTGGGAACTGAACCTGGGACTCTCTGGTCCACAGGCTGACGCTCCAACCGCTGAGCCAAACCAGCCAGGGCTAGTTTGTCAATTTCTTAACATATACATTCACAAAACCTACTTTATTATAGACTTTTGGTTTTAATGGACAGTTCCTTTTTATTTGGCAAACATCACTTGTTAAAGACTATGGAAACTGAATTTATACTTGGTACAATGACACAGTATCAAATTGAAAGACAAATACAGTAACTACCAGATAGAGAGATATCAAAGAAACCCAATCTCTAAGGCAGAGAACTATATAGATTCAATAATAATTATGATCTTGATTCTTTCCTATCAAACTAGTCACATCAGGGTTAGTTCTCAATAAAGCAGAAAACTTGGGCTAGAAAGAACATGTAAGAAAACATACCTCACACATGCTAGATTTAAAAAAAAATTTAGCCCAAAGAAGCAATTCATCCCTGCCCACTTTTAAGTTAACCCTTTTTTCAATACTTTTGGATACACAGAAATATTATTCACATACACCCCCTTCTAGAACCAGCTTTTTAAAGCTATGCAAGAAAATATAATTATTTTCTTGAAATGATAAATGTATCATTTCAAGTTCAGAGTATATATATAAAATGTAATAATCTGCAGCTTGAAGACAATAAATCATTTAGATAACAAAATTTACACCTGACCTTACCTTTGTAAGATAATCTACTTTCAAATTGTCGATCATCATATTTTTCTGGGATAGTTCTATTTTCAGTAACTGAATATTGTGAAGTAGTTCCTTCCGTTCAATCAGCTGTCTGGTGATTTTGTTTTTACCATCTCGCTCTTCTGATGAGGACATGTCATCTGTAGGAACTGTTGTTTCTAAACTAATATCTTCAGATTCCAGAGAGCTAGAGACATTCATTGTTTTTGATGTCTTAACAATTTTTCGAGACATTAGTATGGGTCAGTTTTCTTCTCCAATTCTATTTCTGTAGGTTAAAAAAATATTAATTTAAATGTACTCAAACATTCTCTGTGGAAAGGGTAAAGTATATTACAATGATATTAAGGATTCCCTAAATAATAATTAGGCAATCTGAGGTGCCCAAATATAGGACAGATTAGTAAATCACTGCTCAGCTCACACATATTAAATCAAACTCATTAAATCCTATTACGAACTCAGGCACTTGGATGAATAAGAAATCCAGTTCCTGGGGGCAGGAATACTTGGAGGAAACAAAGAAATGTATGAGATCAAGGGTAAAGCTCGAATGCTACTAATAAAAGCAGCACATGTTCAATACCAGAGAAATCACTTCTGAGTTGGCCAGGGGAAAGTCATACAGAGATAGAACCTAGAATATTGGAGGATTTGAAGAGGAGTAGTAAAAAGGGAAAGCATGCAGGTGTTAAGGTTGGTACAGAGGTGGTGAAAATGTAAAATGACAGCGGAAGGTAGTGGTTGTCAGGCTGGGGGCAAGTCTTCGTGAAACAGAGTAGTGACTCCCCTCACCCAACAAATACAGACACACTTACCGCGTTAATAATCATGGCTGAATGTCAAATGTGTTAGAAATTTATTCTGCAGGCAATGAGGCATCACTGAAGATTTTTAAAAAGGGGAAGCAGTGACATGAAAATATTCTTTTATAGGCTTGTAGGTAGCAGAATGAAAAAAAGAGGGTAGAAGAGAAAAACTCAAGAATTCTAAGTCGAACTTCCCCCCCTTCCAACGGAATTTTAGCAACTCTCCTGTTTGGGTACTACACGATATAATGAATTATGCACGGTATTGCAGACACCAGTTTTTCTAAAGGGAACAAGTGTGTGTGGAGGGGAAACGGTAAGAACTTGAGCTGGGTCGATTTCCCTCCCTTCTAAAGGGGAAAGGGTAAGAATGGGTGAAATCAAAGACAGTCAACATCACCTGGATTTCAAAGGATCAGGGAGTGAGACTGCCCACACGTTCGCGGCGAAGCAAACCCGAACTTGGCAGCCTCGGAGGATTCCCTGCCCCACGCGGGAAAGGAAGGGACAGCTGAGAGCTATCGCGAAAGCTTCAATTACTCCACGTCGCAGGCTGGATCAGCCGCCACTGACTCCACTTCCAGGGGCTGAAGGTGTCTTCAGCTCAGGTTGCAGCACCTCAAAACTGAACCTCAGGCTGGGGACCGTTAAGACCCGTAACCAGGACAACCATTCCTGCGCCGGGAGGACGGTGAAAGCCGCAGCGTGCAGAAGCCCAAGCCGCCGGAACTGAGCCGGGATCCGCCCAGGCGCGGGAAGCAACGCCGATTGGGAGCTGGAGTCCAGAGGCGGGCCCCGCCCACATCTCGGGCGGAAATGGCTCTGAGCTCCACACTTTTGTCCAATTCTCGCAGGCTCGGAGAGCCAACCAGCGTCAGTCTCGACGTTTTCCCGCGAGAGGTGGTCGTTAACATCTAGGAGCGGGAAGGGGCGAACCTCCGGGTAAAGCATAGTTGTGCGGCAGGGCTCCTAGCTTGACACTTTTCGCCGGAAGAGCGCTTCGAAGTCGGGACTCTGCGCCGCGAGGCACGATGCTGAAGTCCAAGACTTTCTTAAAAAAGACGCGGGCGGGCGGCGTGATAAAGATCGTGCACGAGCACTACCTGCGGGATGACATCGGCTGCGGTGCGCCCGGGTGCGCGGCGTGCGGCGGTGCTCACGAGGGGCCGGTCCTCGAGCCGCATCCCCTCGACCTGGCGAGCAGCCTCTGCCCGCAGCCGCACTACTTGCTGCCCGACACCAACGTGCTGCTGCACCAGGTGCGTCGGCGGGCGAACCTGGGGCAACGCGGCCCCACCAGCAAAAGGAATTTGACAGGGAAACTGAGACCCTAGGAGGCTCGTCTTGGGCAACATCACGCACTTAGGGAGAGGCAAACCCAGACGGGACTCCCGCCTCCTGTCCCCCAGGCCGAGGTTCTTTTCCTTTTATGTACTGTTTTTGAGTTCTTGGAATCATAAGGACTTTAGATACGTTTTTTTTCTAACTCCTGGTGTCTCTTCTGCTTTAGATTGTAACTGTCTGGAGGCCGGGGACCCGGGCTTCTATGGCCTCCAGCTTGCGACCCCCAGGCAGCTTGTAAGTGCCCACTCATGAAAACTATGTGGGCCACCGTATTTCTTTATTCATGGACTTAATTCTGCGAAGTTTTAGAATTACTCTGTTTTACATGTGCTTTTCTCTACCAGACCTGATATAGCAGAATATCTCCTTACCTTAATGTATATTTACTTAGTGTTTGGTTTTTAAATCCTTACCCAGAATATGTTTTGTTGATTATTTGAGAGTGAGAGAGAAACATGGATGTGAGTCTGGATTGCCACCCATATGCCCCCTGATGGGATTGAACCCGCAACCTAGGTATGTGCCCTGATCGGAATGGAACACAACCTTTTGGTGTGCTGGAAGGCTCCAACCAACTGAGCCACCAGCCCAGGGCTACATTTACTGTATTTTTAAATGATAGGGTTTTATGTTCGACAGGACGATTTACAAATGAACATAGAAAAAAATTTTTTTCTTTTGTTTTCTCTTAAGATTGACGTTCTTGAGGACCCTGCCATCAGGAATGTAATTGTACTGCAGACAGTTCTGCAAGAAGTGAGAAATCGGAGTGCCCCGGTATATAAACGAATTCGAGATGTGACTAATAACCAGGAGAAGCATTTTTATACATTCACTAACGAGCACCATAGGTAGGAGGAAAATTATGATAATTATCAGAAAACCACAGAACTGTTTAAATTTGGGGAAGGGCTCCTGTCAGTAATTTGTGATGTCAGAAGCTATCTGATAGGTTTCTTACTTATAGGAGTTTTATTTGGTTCTCACACAGTTGTACAGAAGGTAATACTAAAGTAGACCTAATTAAGATCACATAGGCATTGTTTGGATCAAATCTAGAACCAAGGTCTTCTGACTCCTAGGCTTTAGTAGGTACTTTTATTTCTAAAATGTTTTCATTTTGAATTGATTTTAGTATGAGTTGAGCAATAGAATCATGGTAGATAAAATTTGCCTAGGTTTCTGTAATACCATATAATATGAATAGCCAACATAGATTAATAAAATGTCAAAGTTTGTGAAGGAGGTTTTAAATATAAAGCAGATTTATTCTTAAGGGGCTTTTAAAAGTTAAACTAATACCTTGTAACTGATCACATTGAAGAAAGTATGATTAAAGTATAGAATTCTTTGTTATATTTCAAATTTCAAAAACTATGTTTGAACATAATGTGTGATCTTCGAAAATAGAGATTTTTTTTCACATTTGTATTTTATTTTTTCCATCACTTTTTATCCCCTCTATGGCCCTCTTCCACCACCACCCATCCCCCTCCACTGCACTATTGTCCATGTCCTTGAGTTCTCTCTCTCTCTCTTTTTGGGTGTGCAATCCCTTCATCCCCACCCCCACCCCCAACCCCTGATATCACAGTTTTTTATGTTACATAAATCTATGATGCATCTGAGTATGCTTTTAATAGGTTAGATCAGGGCTTTTCAATCTTGGCACTACTGACATTTTGAACTAGATAATTCTTTGCTGTGGCTGGGCTATCTTATACATTCTAGGATGTTCAACATCATCCTTGGCTTCTACTCACTAGATGCCAGTAGGAACACTTCCCACTCATCCACAGAGTTGTAACAACCCCAAAATGGTTCCAGATATTGACAAATGTTCCCAGGGGGCAGAATTACCCCATTGAGGACCACTGGATTAACTGGTAGATCTGGTAATGAAATCACACTGAAACATGCAAATTAAAAATTTTTATTTCTCAACTTTCTCTTTTTTATTTTTATATCTCAGACATAAAACAGAGAACTGTTGCCCTGGCCGGTTTGGCTCAGCGGTTGGAGCGTTGGCCTGCGGTCCAGAGAGACCCGGGTTCAGTTCCCGCTAAGGGCGCGTACCTTGGTTGCTGTTTGTCCCCGGCCCTGGTTGGTCGTGTGGGTGGTGGCCACTCAATGTGTCCCTTTCACATCAATGTTTCTCTGTCTCTTCCTCTCTCTCCCTCCCACTCTGTCTGAACAAAAAGTGGAAAAATGTCCTCGGGTGAGGATAAAAAAACAACAACAAAAAAACAAAGAACTGTTGTGGTAAAGAACATCAGTAAAGCACTAGTAGCCTTATTCCTAGCTCCTCCTTGAAATCTAGAAGCAGAAATGTCATTTGTTTTTCAGTGCAGAAAGACCAAGTTTTTGTGGAACATGATATTCAGAATCCTAATGAGAGTTTATTTTGTTAACTTAAGTTCACTGAATAGAGTTTAGCAATACTGGGGTTGACAGGAAAAAATCTTAGATCTTAGGACACTTGGGCAAATTTCATCTAAGATTCTGTTCAAGTCATGCTAAACCAATTCAAAAATTTATGACAATGACTTTGATTGTTATGCTTAAAGTATTACTAGGTGCATAATAATGGTGAGGAATAAAATAACTCTAAACAAATCTAAAATTTTTAAATTGAATCAGTTATCTATAAGCACTATAAGTTATTGTACTGAGTTTTGTTATTGTACTTACATTTGGCTTGATAAACATTTAAATGAGTATACTGAGATATTTGGGAGTTCAGAGTACATAAATTTAGAAAGGAGTGTGCAGTCATATCTGTGTCTGGTCTTTTTCTCTGTAGGTAGCCTCTGGCATTTATTGTGCGTTTACTATGGAAAATTACATGCATTATATATTTAACTATAGAATCATGATCATAAGTCATCTAGTTGTACTATTTATAGCTTTTAAAATTACTGTTAATCTACAGTTCAAATGAAATATTATTATCAGACTTGCAAAGTTTTATTATAGTTTTTTTCACCAAACCATTACTTATTTGATGTTCCAACCTGAGTATAAATTCTGATCTTGATTTTCCTCTTGGTAAAATAAATTTGTTTTAGCCTTTTTACTGTTCCAGTAACAACATGATTTTCTTTTTAAGCAAATTGTTATCTTAGGAACTTAATTATAAGGATCCTAAAAAGAAAAAGATATACCACTGACTTTTTTATCCTCACCCAAGGACATTTTTGCATTTATCTTCAGATAGAGCAGGAGGGAGAAAGGGAGGAAAAGAGAGAAACATCGATGTGAGAGAGGCACATCGACTGGCTGCCACCCACACAACCCCAAATGGGGCCAGGAACAAACTGCAACCGAAGTACGTGCCCTTAGCGGGAACTGAACCCAGTTCTCTCTCGTCCACAGGCCAACGCTCTAACCTCTGAACCAAACTGGCCAGGGCATACCATTGACTTTTAAGTTTACTGGTTATTAGCATTTATGTCCTAAGACTTTTTGTATATGCTTGTTTTTATTGATTTTCACTTCTTTTAAAAAAATTGTTTTCTTTACATTTAGAGAAACTTATGTAGAACAAAAAGAAGGAGAAAATTCTAATGACAGGAATGATAGAGCCATTAGAGTAGCAGCAAAATGGTACAATGAACATTTGAAGAAAATATCAGCAGAGAATCAGCTGCAAGTTATCTTCATTACAAATGACAGGAAAAACAAAGAGAAAGCCATAGAGGAAGGAATACCAGCTTTCACTTGTAAGTCTAAGCATAGAGACTGTTAATTCATGTTTGCAAATGCATATAAAAATTATTATCAGGCCCATGGTCAGAAATTCACTTTACTGTATAAAATTTTTATAATTCTTTGTTACCATATATATATATTTTTTTGCATTTTTTAAATTTAGTTTTTAATCCTCATTGGAGAATATTTTTCCATTGCTCTTTCAGATAGAGTGGGAGGGAGGAAGGGAGGGAGGGAGGGAGGAAGCGAGGGAGATAGAGGCAGAGACAGAAACATCAGTGTGAGAGAGACACATTTACTGGTTGCCTCCTGCATGACCCCGACTAGGGCAAGGGATCAAACCCCAACTGAGGTATGTGCCCTTGACCGGAATTGAACCTGCAATGCTCTGGTCCATGGCCGATGCTCTAACTGCTGAGCCAAACCCTCCAGGGACTTCTTGCATTTTTAAATTTCTCTGCATTACTAAACTCAGTGTGTTCTGCCCAGTGGCTAATTTCCGCATCATCGTTTGGAATTGGCATAGCAATAAAAGTTCATAGTTATGCTTGACCCACTGTTTCTGCTTGGGCATGACCAAATCAACAGATTTGGGCTTCTTTTAAAAAAAAAAGATTATTGATGTTCTTCCACATCTAAGAAAAAACAGAAAATATTTGAATTTATCAAGAGCAATAAAACTTCTTTTTCAGGTGAAGAATATGTGAAGAGCCTAACTGCTAACCCTGAACTTATAGATCGTCTTGCTTGTTTGTCTGAAGAAGAGGTATGTTTGAGTTTGTTTAATTTTGTTTCTGAAAAGTGAAAATATTAAAATAGCCACTTTGGGATATGAAATTTAAAAATTGGAATGTTAGTGGGAATTAGAGTAGGAGTTGGGTTATAGACAGTAAGAGTGTCTATAACAGGCTTTCCTATCCAAAATGCCATTCCTAAAAGACTTGACTTTCCAAAGTAGCATTGTTTGCCAATATATCGTCAGCAGCTTGAGTAGGGCCTGGCACTTAGTAGCACTGTTTGATGACTCAATAAAGGAACCCATGGCTGGTTTGTGAATAGGAGGAGGTATTTGACAAAGAAGTGGCGCCCACTGCAGACAGCATACTGTACCAGTAATCTCGAAGGAGGAGGGAAGGGAGTCATAAGAGGAAGAACAGGAAGGATAGGGACCTGATAATGAGCACCTAGAATTTGTTTTGTAGGTTAGTACTTTTTAAACATATAAAGATCTCTCTGAAGAGATGATAGCAGATAGAATTCGGGGCACTCTACCTTGTAATGGGAGGCTAAAATAAATTAAGGGTGTATTAAAAGTGTTCCTAGGAGGGATGGGGTAGAAGGATCAGAGATATTTATGTGAAAGAGCACTCTAATATTGATATGTAAGATGATGCACTGTATGTTTCAAGGGCAAGGTTAGAGGCAGAGGGATCACTGTAATAGTGGATGTGAGAGGGCATGTTACGGGAATCATTAAACTTTGTGAGCCCTCATTTCCTTACATGTAAAGTGTGTTTAGCAATAGTGACTTCGTGGTGTTGTAATGAGGATTGAATGAGATAATAACAGTACCAATAAAATTCTTATCTCAGTGCCTACCATGTAGCCAGAGTAAATGTAAATGGTAACTATTGTTATAGAAATTGGTTTTATGTCATAGAACATTATACATATATCCAGTCTTTACAGTATTTTTCCCATCCCTGTTTGCCTTCATCCGGCTACTTTAGAAAAACTAAATGGAAGTGAAAAAATAAAAACTGGACTTGATTTTTGGATTATCAATTTAGTATTGCCCTAACATGTAGCCACTAGTTGCATGTGGCTGTTTAAATTTAATTCAAGTTAAGCATTCAGTTTCTCAGTTGCACTATCTACTTCAAGTGCTCAAGAGCCACTTGTGCCTAGTGGCTTCCATCTTGGACGTCACAAAAAGAATATTCCCTTCATCACAAAGTTGTTTTGAATAGCACTGATCTAGAAGAAGAAACAAGTAATCTAACATTGGTAATACACAGTATTTGATTAAGTACTATGGTAAGTGTAGGGTACGGTGAAATTATAGTCAGTTTGTGGTAATACAGTGTGTGTTTCTCAGATTCACTGTGTTATGCAATATCATGTAATAAAAACCACAGAGCTAGTGGGAAAATGTAATTACGGACACATACTCAAAAATTTCATGTGCAAAGAGGATTATCTAAATTTAGACAGATGGTGAGGCTCATAACATACTGAGGTATCACTGAGGTGATCTGAGGTAATTGTTAGATGTTTGGGAGACTGTGTATGTGTTTTGTGTATTCCTGTGTAACTTGGTTCACCTGGTGCAGTTTTGTTCATTTGCCTAATATTTTCTAGTATATTAGTCGCATTGGAACATTTTGTGTTTTCAAAATAAGCAGTGTAGTAGAATGGACTGTACTTAGCAAGGGCACCTAGCCCAGATTTGGAATGTTAAGGCTTCTCGATAGAAGTAATGTCTAAGTTGAGATGTGAAAGATGTTAACTAAGCAAGATTGCTTTGAGACAGGGTCATTTTAGCTCATTTATGTAAAGGACTTAGCCATGGTAATAATTAGGGCAAGAGCATTTCATGCAGAGGAAACAGCAAGTTCAAAGGTTACAATAAGTTGGTAAGATCAAGAAAGCTAAAATGGGATGGAATGAGCAAGGGAGAAAATGTTAATAATGGAGTTAGAACTGTAGGCAGGGACCAATAGTATATAATGAGTCATGGGGGAAAATACTGGATTTTAGTCTTCTAGTGCTGGATAGCTGTTGAGCAGGGGAATAATGTGACCTATCCAACTGCTTTAAGAATAGATTTGAAACAAGATTTTCTAGGAAGAAGAATATTTTAGTACTTCAGGAGAGAGAAGACAAAATTGGACCATGGCAGTAGCAGTTAAGGTAGAAAGAAGTACTCAGATATTGGGTGTATTTTGTAGATAGGTGATTTAGGACTTGGTAATAGATTAGATGGGGCTCTGAGGGAATATAGATAACTCCAGATGTTTTACCTAAGCAACTATGTAAATGGTATCACTTTATACAAGATGAAGGAGGAAGCAGGATTAGGTAGGAAATCACAAGTGTAATTTTAGACATTTTAAGTTTGAGATACCTGTCAGAGCTCCAAGTACCTTTATGATATGCATAGTTGGGTATGCAAATCTGTGGCTCAAGAATGAGGTTAGAAAATAGACATAAATTTATAAGTCTTCAGCATAAAGGCGGTATATAAAGCTATAGACCAAATGAGATTATCTAGTGCAGGGATTGGCAGACTTTTTATTTTTATTTTTTTATTTTTTCCCACATCTTTATTGTTGGATGTAAAATGTATTACAGATGTTCCACATTTTTCCCCCATTGACCCCCTCCTCCCCACTCCCACCCCCCCTCCCACCTTTTCCCAAACTATTGTCCGTGTCTATTGGTTATGCATATAAGTTCTTTGGTTTATCTCTTCCCACCCCTCCAACCCCTTTCCCTTTGAGGTTTGTCAGTCTAGCAATGAATTTGTGCTTCTTAATCCCTTCACCTTTTTCACCCATTTCCCCAACCCCCTTCCCAACTGGCAACCAACAAAATGTTCTCTGTATCTATGAGAATGTTCCTGTTCTTCCTGTTCATTTTGTTTGTAGATTCCATTGTTGATAGATATGTATTCATTGCCATTTTGTTTGTTCATACATTTTATCTTTTTCTTCAAAAAGACCCCTCATCATTTCATATAATAACGGTTTGGTGGTGATGAACTCCTTTAACTTTTTCTTGTCTGGGAAGGTTTTTATATGTCCATCGATTCTAAATGACAGCTTTGCAGGATAGAGTAATTTTGGTTGTAGGTTCTTGGTTTTCATCACTCTGAATATTTCTTGCCACTCCTTTCTGGCCTGCAAAGTTTCTTTTGAGAAATCAGCTGACAGCCTAATGGGAACTCCCTTGTAGGTAACTAGCTGCCTTTCTCTTGCTGCTTTTAAGATTCTCTCTTTGTCTTGAACCTTTTGCATTTTGATGATGATGTGTCTCGGTGTGGGCCTCTTGGGGTTCATCTTGTTTGGGACTCTCTGTGCTTCCTGGACTTGTATGTCTGTTTCCTTCACCAAGTTAGGAAAGTTTTCTGCCATTATTGTTTCAAACAGGTTTTCGATTTCTTGTTCTCTCTCTTCTCCTTCCGGCACCCCCAAGATGCGAATGTTGGCACGCTTGAAGTTGTCCCAGAGGCTCCTTACACTATCCTCATTTTTTTGGATTCTTTTTTCTTTTTGCTGTTCTGATTGGGCGTTTTTTGCTTCCTTATATTCCAAATCGATGGTTTGCTCCTTGGATTTACGTACTGTATTATTGAAGCTATGTAAATTATTCTTTATTTCAGTTAAAGCCTCCTTCGTTTCTAACTGTGCAGCGATCATTTCTGACTGGTCCTTTTTATGCTCTTGAGGCCCTCACTGAGTTCATTGAGCATCCTTATAAGCAGTATTTTGAACTCAGCATCTGTTAGGTTGCTTATCTCCATTTCGCTTAGTTCTTTTATTGGGGTTTTGTTCTGTTCTTTCATTTGGGACCTGTTTCTTTGTATCCTCATTTTGGCTGCCTCCCTGTGTTTGTTTCTGTGTATTACTTAATGAGAGGTATGGGGCTAGCTGAGACCCGATGCTGCTCGTTTGAAAGAATTTAGGAAAAACCTGAAGCAGGATCCAAGACAGGCCAATCCTATGGTTAAGCAAGTGGCAACAGCTTGGGTGGGCTTGAAAGTTGTGTGGGGCGGGGCGGGGCCTCAGGGAGTCAGCAGGGCGGGGCTACCAGTGTGAGCCAGGTTGCTGGAGTCCCAGATATGGCAACTGTCTGCCACCCCAGGGAAGGGCTCACCAAAGGAACAAAAGCCTCTTACAGCACGTTTGTCCCTGAGGAAGCCCTCTCTCCAGCCCTCACTCCAGTGCCAAACAGCTCGGTTCTTCGCTGTATGTCTCTGGCACCCCTGGAGCTGCCTCCCCTCTGAGCTTAGAGGGAGAGAGTCCGATAAGTCCGTGCGCGGGCCCTTTAAGGAGCTGCCTGGGGCTCCAGCCGCTTCAGCCTCCCTGAGCCTCAGTTCCCGCTGGTTTTTCCAGCCGGAAGTTATGGGGATTCTCTTCCTGGCACTGGAAACCTGAGCAGGGCACCTGGTGTGGGACGGGGACCCCTCAGTCCTCAGGAAGGACCTTCCCAGCCACGGGAGCCTCCTCATTTTTATCCGCCACACGTGGGTGTGGGACCAGCCCGTAGTGCCGCCGCACTGCCGCCGCCACCCCTCGCGCCGCCGCCCCTCCTACCAGTCTGGATGTAGCTGCTTTTTTTTTTAATTCCGTAGTTGTAGGACTTCCATTCAGCTTGATTTCAGGCGGTTTTGGATGATGGTTGTTCTGTAGTTTTGTTGTAACTTTGATGTGGTTGTGGGAGAACGCGATACTGCGTTTCCCTACGCCGCCATCTTGACCGGAAGGAGACTTTTTTTTAAAAAACAGCTCTTTTGAGCTGTAATTCACATATCATACAACCCATACATTTAAAATTTAGATTTTTGTTTGTTTGTTAATCCTCACCCAATGATATTTTTTATTGATTTTTAGATAGAGTGGAAGGGAGGGAGAGAGGGAGACAGAAAGAAACATTGATGTGAGAGAGACACATCAATTGGTTGCCTCCTGCATGACCCTGACCAGGGCCATGGACTGAACCGCAAGCAAGGTACATGCCCTTGACCTGAATCAAACGCGAGACCCTTTGGTCTGTGGGTGGATGCTCTAACCACTGAGCAAAACTGGCTAGGGCTCTTTTTTTTTTTTTTTTTTTTTTTTTAAGATGGGAGGAACTAAAGGAATAAATGTTGATAAGGAAAGGAAAGGAAAGGAAAGGAAAGGGGTCTTGGGAATATGACAAAATTTAGAGATCAGCAACAAGAGAACTGGCAGAGGAAACTAATCAGTGAAATAGGACAGAAACCAAAGGAATGATGATTTGGGTGCTGATATGTCTCAGGGAAGGAAAGATTATTTCAAAAAATCTCATAAGACTGAGAGCAGAGCTTTGTATTTGCTAAGATAATATATTAGTAAACCTGGCAATATTGGTTTCAGTTGACTAAGGATGACACTTGATTGTAGTGGATTCATGCCAGAGTGCAGGTGGGTAAGTAGATATACAGCTGTTCTAGAGAATACAATTTAGCGTTTTGGTATTAAGTGGAACAAAAGATAAGGCTAGTGTCTGGAAGGAGACCAAAATTTTATTTATTTATTCTTAATAGATCATCTTATGTTTACATGATGGTGAAAATGTTAAAATAGAGAGGGGGGGATTTGATTCTAGAGACAGGAGATAATTAAAGGACTAAGTTCTTTAAATAGAGGAGAGGATCCATGGTTTGCAGTGTCCAATTGAAAGAACAGAAACAGCCCAGGCCAGTGTGGCTCATTTGGTTGGGCATAGTCTCGCACCAAAAAGTTGCTGGTTTGATTCCTGGTTAGGGCACATGCTGAGGTTGTGGGCTCCATCCCAGGTAGGGGCTATGCAGGAGGTAGCTGATTGATGTTTCTCTCTCTCTCTCCCTCCCTCTCCCTCCCTTCCTCTCTGTCTCTAAAAAAAAAAAATCAATAAAAATATCTTTTTTAAAAATGAAAGAACAGAAACATTGTATTCACTGGTATAGGAGGGAAAGGTGAGATTTTGGTGTAGATACAAATAGGTGGGCAGGGTCAGCAGTGGGAGGATGAAGTCCCTACTGACTGCTTCTGATTCTCAGTATGGATATTGAGGTCATCCATCTGAGAGTGAGGAAGGAAGACAGGGAAGTTAGAGAGTTAAGCATGTGAAGGAGAAAGTGTAAAGTATTCTCCTTGGAGGGTGAAGAACTGTGGGAAATGGAGAAGGACAAGAAAGGAACCAAAGCAGTTAGCATTTGGATATTGAGATTGTTAAGAATCCTGATAGGTGTTGTTGGTAGATCTAAGGCAGTTCCCAACTTAACCTCTATCTTATATCCTTAGCTATTTAAAATACGTAGCCAAAATGAAAAGAGCTTTTCTTATGCTTTAGTAGCCATAGGCTTTTCATTGATTTGAGGCTTCAAATTAGCCTCTGTGTATCTTTCTGCCCACTTAAATACATCCCTTCATTGAGGGAGGCCTGGGATGGTTGGTGGGGGTATGTGGAGTTTCTTGGTGACGTACACCTGTGGCTAAACACCTAGATGTAATGAAATTGAAATAGTTGTGTAAGTTGTCCTAAGAATAAAAAGCGTATTTTTCTCACTGTGCCATATTCTCTCATTCGTAGAGTTGTATGTGCCATGATGTGGAAGATTTTTAAAAGAAATTACTTGATAGTGCTAATAGTTATGTACTGAGTGTACAGAAGATTTACATACTAACTGTATCTTTTGGTTTGCTTATTTCACAGAACAAAATAGAAAGTGGAAAAATAATATTTTCAGAGCATCTTCCCTTAAGTAAGCTACAACAAGGCATAAAATCTGGCACGTACCTTCAGGGAACATTTAGAGCCAGCAGGGAAAATTACTTAGAAGCTACAGTATGGGTTCATGGAGACGCTGAAGAAAATAAAGAGGCAAGTGTGTAATTATATTCCTTATACTCTAAAATACTTTTTGTTCAGTATTCTCTTTCATAAGTGTTTAAACTTTGTATGAGAATTTACATTTGCTTTGTATTCCCAGTTGATCAGCTTGGAGGCAGTTATATGGGAGGTAGAGATACTAGAATTAATCATTGTTTTAGAAAACTGCTTATTGAAGAAATGAAATTTCTATTAACCTACTTTTAGGGAATAAAAATCTAGTCAATCAAATAATAAATAGATGCCTCTATTTTATATATTATGACCGGCTACGGGAAATACTATTTACATAATATGTAATTTCTCCAGAGGACTTCACACCCTTGAAAGTGAATAGCAATTACTTTGGGATGCTCATTTTGCCAGGTACTCCGCTAACTGCTTTGCATGCTGCATTTCACTTAATCTTCAACCCAGCCTAAAAAAAGTAGGTACTCTTTCTGTGTTTTACCAATCAGGACATTGAGGTTTAGAGATTAAGACATTTTCCAAGGTCTCTTGGTACTAATGTAAGACTTATGGTGGAGCCGTGAACACAACCCATATTTTCTGACCATGTTTTTTCTACTTGATATTGAGAAATTAAGATAGTATACTAAAGGGACATAATAAGGAAGAAAAATATAAAGGAGGAGAAGTAGAGATACATAGAGACATTCAGAATATATCTAAACTTTTAAGTAAACTTTTCATTATGGCCATTAAAAATATCTGGACACATGCCATTTACTTTTTACACAGATAATCTTACAAGGGCTTAAAAATTTAAACCGAGCTATTCATGAAGACATTGTGGCTGTGGAGCTTCTCCCCAAGAATCAGTGGGTAGCACCATCTTCTGTGGTTTTACATGACGAAGGTCAAAATGAAGACGATGCGGAGAAAGAAGAGGAAACAGAACGCATTGTATGAAACCAAACAAGTTTTAATTTTTGTCTGTATAGTGTTGCTTTCAGATTTATTGAACAAAATTGTAGTTCTACAGAGTTGATTTTTTCCCCTCTATTTTAAGTAGTCTGCTTTTAAAGTAATGTCTTATTTTGCTCCAGTAAGTGGGTTTAAATACAAAAAAATCTGTACCTTGAGTGTGAAACTTGACCTTTATGACATTCAGAACACGATCTGTCTGAATTAATGAGTTTTAAGTAAATGCAAATTAAAATTTTCTGAAATGCTTTTATGTAATGTTAAAATGTCCTTAGCATAATAGATGTACTTCTGGGCTCTTATATCTGAGTGTTTAATAATTCCTTCTCTATTACCATATTTATTATGAAGACAGTGCTTTCAGTTGTTTCTCAGGAGCCAAAGTCTATGCAGTATGAACTGTTTATTTTCCTATTTTAGAATTACAAGAATAATGGAATTATTCACACCCCATTAGTAGTTTTTTCCCCCAGGAATTATATTCAGTGCTCTGGAGTCTTGCTATGACATTATCCCTGTAGAGTCTAGGCCATAGAAGAATGTTAGAGATGAAGTACCATAAGACCCTTCTGCTGTTTCTAAGAGGAAATACTCTCTATTTGGATTTTTATTTTGGATAAGGAAGAACCATTAAGAATACATCCCTTTTTTAAAGAAATTAATAAATGCTACACAGCTAATTAGTACAAACTAGTACTAAAATTCTAGTCTATTAATTCCCAGACCTGTGTATATGTTAGTAAATCCTCATACTAAAATTGAAAAGAGTTGAATTCTGACATACTTACTCAGTTATATATATATATATATTTTTTGATTATCTGTTTTTGTAGTTCCTTATTATTATGGAAAATTTCCATGGTTTGGTTTGGCATGCTCTTGCCTAGAATTTTGAAACTTCAAGATTCTGTACTTTATGTCATAATTTAGGGCCTGAAAATATTAATATCCATATTCATATTCTAGTTATGAAGGGAAACTGTGTCATTATACATAAAGGAAAAATAACTGAAGATTTTTTGTTTTTAAATCTTAGCTTAAGACTGCTGTAAATGAAAAAATGTTAAGGCCTACAGGAAGAGTTGTAGGAATAATAAAAAGAAATTGGAGACCATATTGTGGCATGCTTTCCAAGTCTGATATTAAGGAGGTAAGTAAAGAGCATGTTGCTGTGTAATAAAAAATGGTATAATTTAATAGAACTTAACAGCCCTCCCCTTGCCTTCATCCTGATTTTTTGTGTGTATGTGAATATTTTCTCCTAATTTTCTCTAGTCAAGAAGACATCTCTTTACACCTGCTGACAAGAGAATTCCTCGAATTAGGATAGAAACTAGACAAGCTTCTGCATTGGAAGGACATAGAATTATCGTTGCTATTGATGGATGGCCCAGAAATTCCAGATATCCAAATGTAAGTTTGAATCAGTAATTTTATTTTAGAATATATTATTTAAAATTTGGGAATAAAATTCCTTCTTTTAGTAAAACTGGAATATGCTTATCTATAAACTTCATACTGAAATTTAGGAATATTTCACAAATTACTTGATAAGTTAGTGCTTCCAACTTGAAAATTAATCATGAAATTCTAATGTAAATCATTTGGTTACTTTTACCCAAATTTTCTAACAAATAACTTTTATTGATAGTAACTACCAAAATGGTGTTTCAGACCTAAGTAGATGCTAATAAACAGATTTTAAAGCTACTGTATTTGAAGCATATTTTAAACTTGAATGATTCTAGGAAATAAACTAGGCCTTCATTAAGTCTTCATTATGAATGAAACACTTGCGCATTGTCATCATTATCAGCTTTAATTTACAGTCATTTCTAAGAAGTAGTTATGGGTGCATTTAGAAATACTAAAGTTATATATAAATGCTCGAGTTTAATGTGATAATAAAATACAAATTACCCAATAAAAAGCCACAAAATAATACCTTTCTAATAACTTTTGGTTTTAGGGACACTTTGTGAAAAATTTAGGTGAAGTTGGAGATAAAGAGACTGAAACAGAAGTTTTGTTGCTTGAGCACGATGTGCCCCATCAGCCTTTTTCACAGGCAGTCCTTAGCTTTCTGCCAAAGATGCCCTGGAGCATTACTGAAAAGGTAAGTTGACTTTATAAATTACTGTGTCTGATTTAATTTTGTTTGAATTCTGTATGTGTTTTTAAATATGTAGAAATCATAGTCCCCTGCATTTAGTTAGGTCCAGAACTCTTAGGTATTATAGAAATCGGAAAGATAATTTTTTCTAGAGGACCAACATTGGCTTTTGTCAAATTTTCAAAGGCAAGGAAACCACAAGTTGCAAATCATGTCTGGTTATCATTAAGAAATAAGAGGACATTTTTTTAAAAATACATTGTTGATTTCATAAGAGCTGTGCTGCATTTGTACTACCAAAACTGTTTTTTGTTTCTTAATTGTGTGGCATCTTCTAGGACATGAAAAACCGAGAAGACCTGAGACATCTTTGTGTTTGTAGTGTAGACCCACCGGGATGTACTGATATTGATGATGCTCTGCATTGTAGAGTACTTGAAAATGGAAATTTGGAGGTTTGTAATTTTGTAATTATATTCTTATCCTCGTATAGTTTTGTTCTTGAGTTCGTTTTCTTTTCACCCATTGTAGAATTTATTTGTGAATTATTTGTGCCAAATATAGTCAGTTGTAGTTACAAAGACTAATGGGTATGTATCAAAAATTGAAATGGGGAGTGTGACAGAGTCCTTTTTCAGTTTGGCTAAATTTCTTCTCATTGAAACTCCGTTTATCCAATTAAGCATGTTGGCATCTTTTCATTTTTATCTTTTTAAGGTTGGTGTTCATATTGCTGATGTTAGCCATTTTATTAGGCCAGGAAATGCTTTGGATCAGGAATCAGCCAGAAGGGGGACAACTGTGTATCTTTGTGAAAAGGTAAACATGTTAAATTTAAAGTGGAATTTTGATGTTTGTAACTTTTTTATCACCTGTTTTATTCTTAATAATAAAATCATCTGAGATGTTTGCCTCAGTATTTAGTGAAATTTGATGAATAACTATTGTGTTCATTGTGCAGTTAGTTCATAGAGATAATGGGCACTTTTGAATTCTTGAATAGTCAGTTTGGAATCATACATGAATTAGCTAAAAGACTAATAATATATAGAATAAGGTGACATTAAATCAGCGAAAATATTCCAGTGTTTTTTGTTATTGATTGGTCCAATGTAGTTGATGTAAATTGTGTAGTATTTAACTTTACTATTTATAGGTAACTAATTAAAATATATTTTCTTGTTTTTATAAAGTTAAATCATGAGTTTATTCTGTCCCCGTTTACTGTTTATTCTTCTGTATTTATAGTCCCATAAAGTTACAGAAAAAAATTGTGAAAGTGGAGGGTAAAGTTAAGCTTAGTCTGTTAGGAATTAATTGTCAAAGTTCTGTGTAGCTTTTTTCCATAAAAATTTAGTGTTGTCTGTTTTAGTATTTTAAAAACAGCATATAGTTTGTGTTAAGCCTTGGAGAAAGGTCCAGTCATAGAGCTAACAGGGCTGTCAGTCAGTCATCTAGTACACGCTTAATATTGAGACTGGAGATTTCAGACTTTCAGAGGACACTAGGTGGTTGGTATAGAGGACTCCGCCTTAGATTCACTGACAAGAAGTTCAGTTTTCATGTTTTTTCAATTCTATTCATAAAGACCAGAATACACTTTTTTTTTTTCCCTTGTTAAATTAATGCCATTTGAGAATAGAATCTCAAATAAATAAATGTATAGATATAACGAAGTAATCTGTGACTCTTCTCTTTCCAGAGGATTGACATGGTTCCAGAGTTGCTTAGCTCTAACTTATGTTCCTTAAGATGTAATGTTGACAGGTATTTATGCATTCGTTTTCATAAGAACATAGTAGTTACTACTGTAACTGATCCCCATTAACAAATACAATCTATGTTTTCCCATAGGCTGGCATTTTCATGTATTTGGGAAATGAATCACAACGCTGAAATCCTAAAAACGAGGTTTACCAAAAGTGCCATTAATTCAAAGGTTAGTTTCCTGGTTAATATTTAATGTTTAAAATCTTCGATACATTTAAAATGTTCTAATTTGTGTTGAAAAAGTTTGGGCTGTCCGGCCAGTGTGGCTCAGTGGTTGAACATCGACCCATACACCAAGAGGTCGCCAGTTTGATTCCCAGTCAGGATACATGCCCAGGTTATGGGCTGGATCCCCGTTGGGGGGCATGCAGGAGGCGGCCAGTCGATGTTCTCTCTCATCGATGTTTTTCTCTCTCCCTCTCCCTTTTTCTCTCAAATCAATAAAGAAAAAAAATTTTTTTAAAAAGTTTGGGCTTATTGAATAAGAGTTTTTTTCCCCAATGTGGCAAGAAAATCCACATTTTTGAAGTTACCTGCTTAATTCTTGATGTTATTTAGAAATCAGTTTATGTAGTTGTTATCCTGTATTGAGAAACATATAAAGCCTGTATACTTAAAAAGACCAAATAGATGACTTTTGCCTTAACCCAGGAATCACAGTATTTGAAGCTGTCACAACTTATGACTGGTTAGCATTTTCATAGTTGGCCTATATACCATCTTCTTGTTTCTCATGTTAATTCATAGAAATGATCTAATAATTCGGTCCTGGATTGCAGCATACCTAGGCTGAGATGTGTGTTCTGACAGAATAGAGCCAGATTGTCTTCCTTTTCCTTTTCCTTTTTTTGTACTTCTCCCCAGATTCCCCATATTCTCACTTCCCCCTAATCTTTCTGTAACGTCAAACCCCTTTTCTTCCAGTGAACCATTTTTAAAATTTATCTGCTTTTTCTCTCACTTTAACATCATTTTTTCTGTTGTGATGAACTAGCAGTTGGGAAGAAAGCAATGTTACTGACGAATATTGATGTATGAATGATTTAAGCCTTCCTAGATTTTATTTTTAAATAGCAATGAATTTATTTTTCTCCCAGACTTTGCTATTATAACAAAATTATATGGAAAAAAAATCTAGTGAACATTTAACAGAAAACATTTTTATTTTTATTTATTTATTTTTGGTATGTGCCCCTAGCAGGAACCGAACCTGGGATGCTCTGGTCCGCAGTCTGACGCTCCAACCACTGAGCCAAACTGGCCACAGCTTTATTTTTATTTTTTTAAATTCATCTTTATTGTTGAATATACGTATTACAGATGTCCCCCCTATTTTCCCCACTGACCCCTTTCTCCCCAATCCCACCCACCTCCTGCCTTCCCCACACTGTTGTCAGTGTCCATTGGTTATGCACATATGCATAGAAGTTCTTTGGTTTATCTCATCCTGCCCTCCCTCCCCCGCTTCCCTCTGAGGTTCATCAGTCTAAAAACCAATTTGAACTTCTTAATTCCTTCATCTTTTTCACCCATCTCCCCAGCCCCCACCCATCTGGCAAGCAACAAAAAGTTCTATGTATCTATGAGTCTGTTTCTGTTCTGCTTGCTCATTTTGTTTGTAGATTCAATTGTTGGTAGATACGTATTATTTGCCATTTTATTGTTTATATTTTTGTTGTTGTTCTCCTTCAAGAAGACTCTTCGACATTTCATATAATACTGGTTTGGTGGTGATGAACTCCTTCAGCTTTTTCTTGTCTGGGAAACTCTTGATATGTCCATGGATTCTAAATGATAGCTTTGCAGGATAGAGTAGTCTTGGTTGTAGGTTGTTGCTTTTCATCACCTTGAATATCTCTTGCTACTCCTTTCTGGACTCAGAAAACATTTTTAGAAGGGGTCTCTTTCTAGTAGAGGAGTTGGCAGTTCCCATTTCCAGAATCTCTCTTGGCTTGCATCATTTAACTACTCATATGCTGTTCTAGATTTTTACTGTGAAGTTCCTTTGTTTTTCAAATCCTCGCCGGAAGATATGTTTATTGACTTTAGAGGGAGAGAAAGGGACAGAGAGAGAAAAAGAGAAAAATATCGATGTGAGAGGGAAACATTGATTGGCTGTCCTGTCCTTGCCCTGACTGGTGATTGAACCAGCGACCCTGGTATGTGCCCTGACTGGGAATTAAACTCGCAACCTTTTTTTTTTTTTTTTTGGTGCGCAGGATGACACTTCAACCAATTGAGCCACTTGACTGGGGCATGAAGTTATCTTTTTTAAAGAATCAGCTAAAAAAAATGATAGTTTTCCGTGAGGAATGAAGTAGAAACAGAAGCAGCTATTTGTATATTTGGATTGATGTTGGAAATTACTTTAAATCTTTTTCTATGATTTGTCTCATTTTTAGATACTTAATTTTCAGTATTTAATAGGTTTCCTACAAAACCTGATGATTGGATTACTGTAGTTTTCTTAATTATTTGCCAGTGAATAGGGGAGTAATTTCTTCTAGAAAGGGTTTCACTCCGTAGTTATCATCAGTATAATCAAACCTTACTTTTTATTTTAGCATCACCTGAGTATTTATGCATTACTTGAAATATGAAAGTAAGATAAGTTTAAGCAATTTATATACTACAATACTACCATATTACTTTAACGTAAGTTCGTTTACATTACATAATGCATCAAATAAAGTTAATGAACCAGAAATCGTAGATGTAGAATATAAATATTAGAAATGTCTTTTTTGTTAATGATATTTAGGTTTTTCAAAATTATGGATTTTATGTAGTGGAAATATGAGAAATGTAGTAAACCAGTTTTTATAAATTTTAAGGGTTGTATTAACATATGGTTTCTTCTTTAGGCTTCTCTTACATATGCTGAAGCTCAAATGAGAATTGATTCAGCGGCCATGAATGATGATATTACTATTAGTCTCCGTGGACTAAATAAACTAGCTAAAATTTTGAAAAAAAGAAGAATCGAAAAAGGGTACATTTAAAAAACATCTATTTAAGATAGTTCTTAATTCATTTATCTTGGTACTAAGATAACTTGTGAACTCTGTAAAGTGTTTTATCATTGGCAGTGATCATTTATTTAATAGGCTGAATAAGGACTCTTATGTTGAGACATCCTACTTCTTCTAGCTACCTTTTAAATATTAGCAACTTAATTCTGGACTGGTGTTTGTTGTGGAGTTCTGTCCTTGTAATTTGTTGTCCTAAAAACTGTTATGTATGAGGTTAAGATCTTAAAAAAATTCTAGGAAGGTAAGAGCTCCTTAAGACTCCTCTATGGATTGTGTCTAATTTTAATTAGAAATGAGTTTCCATGCACTTACTACATAATAGATCTGATGTCGAACCCTTTATTTACAGATCTAAAATGCACTTACTGCAGGGAATATTTGTTGGGATTTTTTTTGCTGGTATTCTTTTCGTAGCTCCTATAATAAAGGTGAGGAGTTAAAGAAGAAAAGGACTTGGTTCTCACTAACTTGTCTCATCTTTTATTTTTTTCCCCTTTTCCATGATTGTACAAGGTTACCCAGCCTCATTAAGTTTTAGGTTGATTTATAGCTGACCTGATGAAAGTAGCGTCAAGGTGTAAAGAAACATTGATTTCCCTTGCTTTGTGGGAATTTACTCTTCAAAGGAGAAGTTGCCAAGGCATTAACTGAACCACACATGTAAAGCACTTAGTATAGTACATTATCTGACATATATCACTCACATAAATAGCCATCAATATTTGTAACATATTAGTAGTTGTAATTTATTAGTCTCTTCTCTGTTGGTTGATTTTATGTGGAAGATAGTTTTGAACTGTGGATCTTCTAATGTTAGTGATCTATCTGTAGCAGCTCCCATGTAATGGAGTAAAATCCTATAGCTTGGGGGCAGAAGATATTCAAACCCTCAGAAGCACAGCAACTCATATTTTACTGTGTTGCTTTCTTATTAAGTGCATTTTAGATCTATAAAATTTAACAGATGGCCCTAAAGCCTTCAGAAGAATAACTGTTGCATACTTGGTATAATCATTTTCTGTTTTAAAAGAATCACTTCCAGAATTATGTCTGTTATTGGCTCACTTGAATAATTCACCCCTAATTTTTATTTAGAGCTTTGACTCTTTCTTCTCCAGAAGTTCGATTTCACATGGACAGTGAAACTCATGATCCTATAGATCTACAGACCAAGGAACTTAGGTATGTAATTTTATTGATGGGCACTAGATAAGATTTTGATTTTAAATGTAATGTCTAGTTTGTTAGTAAATAAAACATATTTATACCCAAAATATCTATTTGTAGTAGCATTATGATTTCTGTAGTTTTTTTGGTTTGTTTTTTGTTTTTGCTTATGAACTGTATAAAAAAGTAAGTATCTCGCCCTGACCAGTTTGGCTCAGCGGTTAGAGCGTCGGCCTGCGGTCCGGAGAGACCCGGGTTCGGTTCCCGCTAAGGGCACGTACCTCGGTTGCAGTTTGTCCCCGGCCTTGGTTGGTCGTGCGGGTGGCAGCCACTCGATGTGTCCCTTCAAGTCGATGTTTCTCTCTCTCTCTCCCTTCCTCTCTCTCCCTCCCACTCTATCTGTACAAAAAAATGGAAAAAATATCCTTGGGTGAGGATTAAAAAAAAAAAGTATCTCACTTTTAAGTTTTTCTTTTTTTTACATAAAACTAGGATTAGTATTACCATAGAAAAATTTCCAGTTTGAATTGGTATGTCTTGATGTGTGTGGTTTATTAAAACTTGACTAGTGATAGTGATAGTAGGTAAATGAAGATTGCCCTGATTAATTTCTTAAGTATTTAATGTAGAATGTACTGTGGTAGGATGGAATAGTAAGCCCAGGGCTTTGACTCTAGAGTGCCTAGGTTTGAATTCCACTGCTGCCTATACAACTCTGGACAAGTGATTTGACTTTCTGTGCCTCAATTTATTTGTGACTGATAATGGTACATACCTCACAGGGTATTGTGAAGAGTACTCAGAAGTTGTTCTCAGCTACTTTGTTATTGTTTTATTGATTTAGTTAAGATATGGGAAGCAAGGAAATTGTTGGTTAAATTACAGTTAGAGCTCTTTTCTATACCTTTATATAAGGTAATTCTGAAATTAAATTTGCATTTGTACTTTTCTCAGTAGATGACTGAGAATTAAAAATGGGAATATACTTAAGTTTGTTAGTTAGAACCAGTATGTGCTTTATAGCATTAGAACTAAAATTAAAAAATACCTTAGTGGGATGGAACTTCTGTGCAAATATGTCTGATGTTAGTATGAACAGTGAGTCCAACACTAGGAGCTCTTTTTGAAGGAAAAAGTTGAATTTTACTTTGCCAAAATAGAACATCATCCATTTTTTCTACCCTTAGAAGAAAAACATTTCTAAGAGATTGTCCCCATAAGTTTTAAAGGTATAAGAGGCGTTACTAATATTTTAAAAATTAATCACTTTAGCAGTCTTGTCAGGAAATTATAAGGTGGTATTTGAAATGGAAACAGGAATGAAAGTTTAATTCATGTTCAGTGACTTGGGAGAAAGAAAGTGCTTTATAAACAGAAGTCAGATTATTTATTAAACTAAATTTTAAATGGACATAGTCTAAGTATTTAGATTGAAAAGCAGTATCAGATTGCTTAAGAGTTTTGAAGTCGGTTATGTGAACTTGGATCCTGTTACTATTAATAACTCTGATCTTGAGCAGACAGTAATACTCAGTCTTCTTATCTGCAAAAGAGAGTGAGTCTATATATGCCACAGTATATAGAGCACAATGTCTGACCCATAAGAAGCACCCAGAATAGCTGTTGTAAATATGATCTCTTCATTTTGTTGATTTATTGGTCAAAGTTTAAATTTTTAAACCAAAATTTATGTGACTTAAACTTTTAATTCTTCTTAGTAAACTTTATTTTTATGGATTTATAGTTAAATAAAAATGTATTTTTATTTGGGTTCAGTAAAGGGAGGTAAAATGTTTATGATTTAGATTTTATATATTACTTAGAGTTAGAAAAGTTTTAATACAGTTTGTAAAGTCTCCTTTAGCACAAGATTGTCTCACATAGTAGGTGCATAGGAAGAGATTGTTAGCATAGTAGGGGCGAAATGAAGAGCCGTAAGTATAAAAATATACATGTGCGCACACACATGAATGCTTACATAGGAAATATTTCCATTATCCTGTAGGTAGAAAAGGTAACCTGTAAATAAATGTTATATAGAAGTCTCAAATTCTCTTTCCTTACTTTATGATATTTTCCTTGGCAGAGAAACAAATTCCATGGTGGAAGAATTTATGTTACTTGCCAATATCTCTGTTGCAAAAAAAATTCATGAAGAATTTTCTGAGAATGCTCTGCTTCGAAAACATCCTGCTCCTCCTCCATCAAATTATGAAATTCTTGTTAAGGCAGCTAAATCTAAGGTAAGGTCCAATAGATTTGAAAAGTTGTCTATGTGTGTGTTGTGATTTATCCATTGCACTGAATAATCTATATTTACATCTCCATAAAAATGTTCTTGTTTCTTGATACAACAATATGACAGTAGTTTTTAGTTTTTATTATTGAAATATATTTCACATATACATTGTGTACATTTAAGATGTACAGTATGTTAATTTGATACATTTATATAGGCTTAAGAAGTTACTTGCATATCCTAGACATAATAAACTCTTCCATGTCTCTGTGCCTTTACACATACATGTTCTTTATACCTGTTACTTCATGACTCCTCTGAACTGCCTAACTTCAGAGACTTAAATAATTTTTTTCTCTTTCTCTTTAATCAATTAAGTCCCCTTTATATCATGTTTCCAAAAAGGAAGTCTATTTATTGCATACATGGAAACATACAGAAAGGGCATCATTTTCTCAGTCTCATATACCCCTGCCTCTGGTCAGATTTTCATTTAGGTATAAATACCCTTATTGTTGGGGTGACTGTGGCTTACATTGGTTTTCTTCGTATCACTTGTTCAGGTCCTATCTTTCCTGTCCAGAAGAGACCTGGAAGGAGTTGTTTTGAATCTCGGGACATTACTCTAACAGAATGGTGCTGGTTTCTTTGTGGTGGGCTTACCCATATCATAGCCATCAGAACAGATCAGCTTCTCTGCTCTAAGTCTCATGCTAGAGATTCGGGGATTTTCTCTTCTTATTTCTTCCTAAGATCTGGGTAGAGCGAGGAGAATTTAAGTATGTTTGCCTCATCTGCCCAAGTAGTAGAATAAAGCAGCTAAGTTTGATGTATTTGAGCAGTGGTGACCAACACTGTTTTATTTTGCTTCTGGCCTTTACTTCTACTTTGAATTGAAGAAAATTGTCTGGAGAGAAAGTCCAGACATACTGGAAAGTATCCAGATCTGCTTCGATTAGGCAGGCACAGGCTGAGCTTAGAAACAGCACGACTGCACCCTCCATCCTTTCTTCAGAGTGTTGATACTTCAGTTTCTTTATTTTTTTTATCCTCACCTGAAGATATTTTTCCATTTATTTTCAGACAGAGTGGGAGGGATGGAGGGAGAGAAAGAGAAAGATCAATGTGAGAGAGACACATCGAATGATTGCCTCCCACATGACCCCGACCAGGACGGGACTGAACCACAACTGAGGTACGTGCCCTTGACTGGAATTGAACTTGCGACTCTTTGGTCTGAGGGCTCATGCTCTAACCGCTGAGCCCAAACAGCCAGGGCAATACTTCAGTATCTTTAAATGCTTTCAGAAAATGTTAAGCTTTGATGTTGCACAGACAATTGTTGCTTTTTACACATTTATTTTCAGTCTCCTAGGTGAAGAATAAAGGGTATAAACACTTATTATTTATTAAAAACATAAACACTTATTATCTGTTCAGTCGAATTTGTTGTAGTTTGAATACATGATGGTACTGATTTTAAAACAGTGCTCTTTAAAAAAAAAAAAGTAAATAAAACATAGCGATCTTTCCCTCCTCTTTATTCACAGAATTTGGAAATTAAAACTGATACAGCCAAGTCTTTGGCTGACTCTTTGGATCGGGCTGATTCTCGTACTTTCCCGTATCTGAACACTCTGTTAAGAATATTAGCCACTCGCTGCATGATGCAAGCTGTGTACTTCTGCTCTGGAATGGATAATGATTTTCATCACTACGGCTTAGCGTCCCCAATATACACGCATTTTACTTCACCCATCAGAAGGTACTTTTTCCTTTTGAAATGGAAGGAAATAGGAAATAGTTAATTTTGAATTTTAAAAAGGCATTTTAATGCTAATGTCACATGATTCTTGTTTCTCCTTTATATATCTAGATATGCGGACATCATTGTTCATCGATTGCTGGCTGTGGCTATCGGGGCTGATAGTACTTATCCAGAGTTGACAGACAAGCACAAACTTGCAGAGTTATGCAAAAATCTCAATTTCCGGCACAAAATGGCTCAATATGCCCAGCGTGCATCAGTGGCTTTTCATACCCAGGTATTTATTACCTTCTAGTGGTAATCTTAGGAGAAATGAAGTTTTGTTCATTTTTTAATTTAATAAAAAAAATTGTTAATTTCAAAATATTTATAACAGTTCTTAATAAGATTATATGTTATTTTATAGTTATTCTTCAAAAGCAAAGGCATAGTAAGTGAAGAAGCCTATATTCTTTTTGTGAAAAAAAATGCTATTGTGGTGTTAATTCCAAAATATGGTTTGGAAGGTACAGTCTTTTTTGAAGAAAAGGACAAACCCAAGCCACGGCTTATTTATGACGATGAGGTATAGTATTTCTAATGTTTTTTTTTTTTTTTTTTTTTTTTTTTTTTTTTTTTTTTTTAAATTCTCCCCAAGGATGTATATTTTTTTACATTTATCTTCAGATAGAATCTGAGGGGGAGAGTGTGAGAGAAACATAGATGTGAGAGACACACTGATTGGTTGCCAGCCTCTGGACCCCAACCCAGGCCGGGGAGGAACCACAACCGAGGTTTGTGCCCTTGGCTGGAATCAAACCTAGGACTCTTTGGTCCCTGGGCCGACGCTCTAACCACTGAGCCAAACCGGCCAGGGCTCTCTAATGTTTTTATTCTTGTTTTCTTTTGGTCGAGTAAAGGTTACTTTTTTTTTTTATAAAATTCAAGTGGTACCTATAAAGGGTGAAATTGATTTTGTATCCGACAGAATGTAATTGTGCCAATTGCTGTACTCAGTTTCTCCCCAGTATACTTCCAACATACACACGTTGACCTTGATTTCTTTTATACCATATAAAGTTTTCCCCCCTAAGGAAAACTAGAATTACACTTGTCCTTAGGTGGAGAGATGGATTCAAGTAAAGGAATAAATAAATGACTGCCTAGCGCTTAGGGAAGGGGATTTTTTAACCCGGTTCCAGTGTCTCTGGTCTGACACACTGCCTACTTCCCTGACCTCTAGAACTACAAAGCAACCTCTGCCTGCAGTGCCTTTGCGTTGCGTTCCTCCACTAGCCCAGCAGTTTGCTGGTGAGACTCCTGAGAGGAATGAATATGTTATGTTCAGATCATGTTTACGAAAGGAGGAAGTATGGTAGCTTATATTTATGTGAAGCTACTAGATTAGTGGTTTTTATTATACTGAACACCTTATTAAATATTGAAGTAATTTTTAAATATAAGCTTTTAAAATAATATGAAAGGTAAACTATAAAGAATTAGAGCAAATCCTCAAGTGTATAAAAGTAATTAGAAATTGTAAAATGTGTTTTGTTTAGATACCTTCACTTAAAATAGAAGATACTGTGTTTCATATATTTGATAAAGTTAAAGTAAAAATCATGTTGGACTCGTCAAATCTGCAGCATCAGAAAATTCGAATGTCCCTAGTAGAACCACAGGTAAGACCAAACTTATACTGTCTGTATTATAATGTAATATATTTTGTGAAAGACAGATACAGTCATAAGTTATTTCTGTTTAATGACGGGGAATTCTGTAAGTGGTGTGGAGGACAAATATTTGCATAGCAATTCCTGTTTCCTCACTGATCTCCCTCGGCCATAGGATCTTAGTTACCCTAGGATTCTTCTGAGGCCATTGGTACAAAAGCAGAGCTGTTTAAGATCTCTCGCCTAGTCATTTTTCACTTTTATCAGTTTTGAGAGGTGCACTTTTGAAGATTAAGATAAAGTGTGTCTCGCATAAGACATTGGTTCTTAACCTTTGTTTTGCCCCATACACCTGCGACCTCCGATGCTGCCAGTCAGTGGCTCAGCTAGGATAACTGGACGTGCTAAACACAGTTCCAAAGTGACCTGTTTCTCACCTGTTGATGTTAATGTCTAACGTTTTTGAACTTATGTTACTTTGTGTGAGAGATATATACATTGTATGGAAAACCTTTTCCAACCCCTCTACCCCTATAGCCTTTTGAAATTCAGAGTGCCAGTGGGGAAGGGTAAGATGAGGATGAGATTTATTCCTTATTTTATGCTTTTACTCACCTAATTTTTCCTTATTTTCATTACTTTAGATACCAGGAATAAGTGTTCCTATTGATACGTCAAACGTGGGCATTAATGAACCAGAGGAAAAGAAGATGAAGCTTGAAAAATAGCTACAACCAACAGAAAAACTTCAAGGATTGGTTTCCTTTTAAAAAAAAGTTAGGACATTTCTAAACCTAAGAAGTGTGTGAAACAGTTTATTACTTTTATGTACATTTTGATACTTTTTAAAGGGAGCATTTGTCAGCTCATTAGAGAGCAGATTAACTTTGCGTAGGTAATTTGATTATTTAATATTGCTAGGAAAAAAACTACCATTTTCCTATGGAGAAAAATACAACAGTTTTAGAAGCAAGGAACAATCTATCCTTTGTAAACCCTGAAAGCTGTGTTTGGTATGGCAGTTTTTAAATTTCAAGAGAATTAAGATCTGTCAGGGAATTCAATAATCTTTGCTATCTTTAATTTACCTAAGTTGTATTATGGGTTCTCTTTCTGTTAGAAAGCCTCCTGTAGTTTCTTAATGGTTCTTAAACAGCTGTGCTTGTTATAGGAAGGCAAGACTTAGGATATTTTGATCTGACTCGAAAAATAGTTGTTTTATACCGGGTAATATGAGTGATCATCATCCTTCACCTTCATCTCAAATGTCTCCCCAAAGTAAGGCATTAGGATTCAAAGAAAGACTGGATAGTACTTTAAATGTCATATCGTTGTTACTTATAAAATAAAAAGTAGGTAATGAATGGCTTTTATACTGCATGTGTATCATATGGGAAAGGGGGGATTGTGTAAATACATATTAAAGGGAACAGATTGAAATATTACAGTTTGGTGTGCCAGAGTGACTACTTCTCTTGTTAACCACAAATATTAGTAATGATAAATGGGTATTTTCAAAAATATTTTGAGATAGTTACCTTGCAACATTTTACTTTGCGTATTCGATCCCTAAAGTACCTACAGTGTACCAGACTTATCACCCATCAAGTAAACTGCCTTTGCTTGCGGTACAATGAGTGGCAAATATGTCAGGAGGTACACTAAGTAGGAATAATTGCAATGTGTACTTTTAGGTACTCAGTAATTGTAGATGATTGTCCCAGTTTCTTGTTACTGAGGAACACATGTTTACATTGAGGCAGAATGGTTTTAGTTGAAGGAAGATAGCTTGAGTTGTCTTGGGTCCAAGAAAGGTACTAAGAGCAGGAGTCAACAAGCCTCTGTGGGGACCAGACAGTTAAGGCTGTGCTAGCCCTGCAGGTTGTCTCAACCTTAGCACTCAACTCTTCTGCTCTTACCAGTGCCAAAGCAGCCGTGGACTGTGTGTGAACAAATGAGCATGGCTATGTTCCAACAGAACCTTACTTAGAGACACAGAAATGGAAATTTTGTAGTTCTCATGTGTCATAAAATATTACCCATTTGAGTTCCCCCTCCCAAACCATTAAAAAATGTTTGGCCCATGGACCATAGTTTACCTGCAGTAGAGGAAAAGGAAGACTTCTTGGAAAAACAAGGATGCTCTGGCTCTATGTCTATCTTTCCAAATTTGTTCTCATTCCTCATTTATGAGGAAGTCTAATTCAGGCATTAGTCCCTATTCTGTAGTTCAAGATGAACAGAAACCTTATTATTACACCCTTTAAAGCCTCTGCCTTCGTAATCTAAAATGCTAGTTCTTAACACTAAGCAGCTTACATGGAATGTTTCACTTAAAAAGCTTTTGAGTGGGACTATTATTCCCACTTAGCAGATGAGAAGATTGAGGTTTTTGTCCCTCAGATCAAGTAGTTAAGTAAGAGAGGTGGTGTAAGTTAGAGTCACCGTTTTCTTCAGTTTGTTGACTTGTGCTATTTAAAACAAACAAACATAGCCAGGAAAGCTCATACTCCTAGAATCTACAATTTATGTATAGCAATAGTCTTGTTTTTATCAATTTTAAAACCTGTGATTAAGGACTCAAGTTCCTAATGCAGTGGATCTAGTGGCTAATGGCTTTAATGGTTAGTGTGCTGGGGAATGGGGAGGGGGGTGTGTGGAGCCAAGTACACAGTAAGAAACATTTTTTGGAGGTTTGTGATAAGCTTACAGGGTACAAAAGAAGGTAAAAATGACACATTGTTAGTATGGTTTTATTTCCTAGGGCTGCATATGAATTACTCCTTTATGAATCAGGCGATTTTTAAAAGGTGCTTTGCAAATATGACTCTACATTCTCCTGAAGTAAAGAATATTCCCTGCCCTGGCCAGTTTGGCTCAGCAGTTGGAGCATCAGCCTGCGGACCATAGAGTCCCGGGTTCGGTTCCCGCTAGGGGCACGTACCAAAAAAAAAGAATATTCCCTTATATACCCAGTCTACACTCAATGTGAATATAAATTTTTAAATACTTACATATATGCTCAACCATTACTTCATAGGTCTAAAAGCCCTAACAGGAACTCCACTGTCACCTGGTTCCCACCGTTCATCCTGGTTCTACCATGTTCTTAGTCCTCTCCCTAGCCAAACTTGAGCTGGAAGGATGTGCTTACCCTAGGGATGGAAAATATTCTGGGCATCCCACATTTATCCCACTAATAAAAACAATACATAAATATGAAGATGCTGTTAGTACTGCCTTTCTAGTATTTATACTTTTTAAAGTAGTCACCAGGTCAGTTATCACTGAAACTAAGAATTTCTACACAGAAATGTAGAGTCCAAGAATGAAACCCGCCTAAAACCTCTTTCCTACCTCTGATTAAATTAATTTTCTATCTAAATCAGACTTCTTTCACATAGGTTATAAATTAAAATTCATCTGTATATTCAAATATTTTTACATAAAATAAAACAGTACTTCCAGCTCATGTTCTCAGAACTGCCGAGTGCAGTGCTATCAGGCTTACTAATAAGCAGTTCACTGACCCTGTAGGGGTACTGTTGTAGTTGGCTAGTTATTCCTACTAGGAAAGGAGCAAAGGGAAGGGCAGACATAGGCATGTCATTTGGGCAGCTTCACCAGGAAACTACAGCTAGACACTCCCCACTGGAACCACTGGTCCATTTCCTGCAAAACACTGGGGGAAGTAGGCACATGCCCCATAAAGTTGGGGTGACATTGGAAAGGTGCTTACCTGTCAATTATACCTGGGAACAGAACTCATTGGCCAGAATGGGTGTGGCCACTGCAAGCACACAAAAATTTTGGAATACATAATCCCCTAGACAAAGGAGTTCTCTAGTTGCTCTTGGCACTCAGTTCTCTTGCACTGCCCCTTGGCCCAGGGCCATGCAGACCCCATACACAGTGACTACAGCAGGGAATGAGAAACTAGCCTGATGCTGGATTGGATGCAGTTGCAACATGGAAAGGACCCCTGGACACTGGCTGTTTAACCCTACTGAAGCCCCAGCTACACTTCCATGACTGGACTTAGGGAAAGGGGACCTTGGAAACCTAGGGGTATAATTCCATGGAAATAAAACTCTACCATATCTCATCCTCCTGTGGGGGCCTCTGAAAATTCTTATTCCAATGGTACCCCAAGAACCCACTTCCACAAGCAACTAGGGGAGATGAGGCCCTCCCCACCCAGTAACAATAGGATAGAAGCAAAGTCATCATTTACAAGTTTTTTTTATTGTAAAACACATCACTCCAGGTGAGTACAAAAATATTTATTGACAAAAAAATAAACTTGTACTTCAGCAACTTGTTGAAAGTTCCAGGTGCTTTTCTGTTTGTGCCTATGGCACTAAATTAAGCCCTTGATTTTTCACATTAAGGAGGGGAAAAAAATGTTGAAGCAATTTTTTCCCAGTAATGATCACATTATTGATCCTGTGCATAAAAAATATGCGAGGAGCTATTTAGCGATAATCTTTGGTTCTGAGAGAGGTATTCTGTGGACTGCTGTACTGAGGATTTGCTGTTCTCATCCAACACCTCTGTGTCGTGTGGTCTTGCTGTGAAAGAGAAGAAAATACGTTATTTTTCAGCTTAAATAGGACTATTTGAGGATGCAACTATTATGAGAACTTTTAAAAAACCGAATACAGTTTCTACAGAGACAGTGAAGATAGGGTTTTTTACAAATCAATGTTTAGTATCAAAAAGTATTTCCTATATCTCTTTTTTTTTTTTTATCCTCACCCGAGGACATTCTTCCATTTTTTGTACAGATAGAGTGGGAGGGAGAGAGAGGAAGAGACAGAGAGAGAGAAACATCGACGTCCAGGGCCGGGGACAAACTGCAACTGAAGTACGTGCCCTTAGCGGGAACCGAACCCGGGTCTCTCCGGACCGCAGGCCGATGCTCTAATCGCTGAGCCAAACCGGCCAGGGCTCCTATCTCTCATTTTTAAACAGACAAATACAATTGCATCTCATGACAAAATGGAAGAAAGGGAAAATAAGGTGGGCTCCATATTAAATCTTAATTCTGATTTGGAGAGTTATGTTCAGTAGCACACTTGCTGATATTTATTGCGTTTATTATAAACTGTCATACGAAAAATTAAAGATTCTCCTGATAGTGCCTAAAATTATGATGGGTTTCTTAAAATGTGAACAGTTATAACCATGCTATCTAGAAGGTTTAGTAAATGTCAACAGTAGTTTTGTATAAATTATAAATATTTAGTATATAAGATACGTGTTCTCATTCAGCATTCAAAATCTATAAAGGCTTTTGGATTTTAATAGCCCTTTGAGTGTTCTTAATTTGATGCAGAGTCTCGCTATTGTACTATTTCCCTCTCTAATAATCAAAATTATTTTTTATGTTTAGCTTTGAGACAATATTAGAGGCAAAAACCTCTGAGTCTCCTCCTCTTAGGCACCTTCTATTCCTATTCTCCATTAGTTTTCAGGAACTGATTTCAAGTACCAGTTCCAAAGTAGGTCTCCCCCTCCAAACGTTTTTAAAACTTTCAGAGCAGAAGAGTTTGGAAAACAAAGTGTTTCCATTTAAAAATCACCTCCCGCTGTTAAATCACCTGAAGGATGAGGTATAAACATGACAGTTAACACAATTTTAAGCAAAACGGAAGGAAAAAAGTAGGCTGAAAAAGGTCACATTTAGTGAACTTATAATCTACAACCACATGAAGCTGTTTTTTTCCATACCTTTGTATTAAAAACTTGAGGTTTGGTCTCAACTTCCAAAGTTTGTGCATCACTTTCTTTACAGTAACTTTCTGCCCCAACCATATCCACAGTATTGCTTCCACAGTTCTGTGTATTATAGCCACTATCCATCTGGATGGGAATGAGGAGGGGGAAAAAAAACACATGCTAAGGATAATGTTGCAAACTTACTCACTTATCCACAAATTTATTTTGAGGAATTTTTATATCTGAGTAAATTTATTTTAAAATATTTATACAATGAATTTTATATACACATAAAATACATGGTTTATATAATATATATAAATACATAAGTGAATCTTTATACTATCATTCACAACTGAACACAATGTATTATTTAATACTGGTAATTAAAAGGTAGATCTACATAGAATTGGTTCTTCAAAGCAGTCACTTCACCATCTTGTAACTTTCTTTAGAATCAGTGAGCAAGCCACTAAGAACATGCTTTCCTGTTACCTTGTGATTACATTCAGTAGACGAAAGTGAGGATTACAATCAACTTCACCTTCCAACTCATTTACCAAGCTTGTCTTCAAGTGGCTTCCTTGCATCTCTAAATACAATCTATCTTTATGAGTATTCAAAAGTGTACACATTTTAAAAGAGATGGGCTACATTACACTCACACCATTGTTGAAATCTTAGCTTCATAATACTACA